CACACTGGGAGACTTTAATGGATTAGCAAATCCAAAACTCGACAAACTCCATCACTCAAAAGCCAACTGCAAAACACGACCCACAAATTCAATCCTTTATACACTCACACAACTGAACCACATAGATACATACAGATTCCATCACCCATCCAAAAAATAATACACATGGCAAAACAATAATGGAGCTGTAACATGAATTGATTACATTTGGCTGTCTCCAAATCCAAATTGGTTCACACTGGAGGCACACATTATTCCATCAGAGTTTATTTTCAATAGCGACCACAACATCGCTACATGCACAATACACACACCTATAGGAGATGATCAAATAATACCACACAACACATCCTTCAAAACAAACGCATTCAATACTAAAGCAACAAAGGCAAAGCAATGGAAGCTATTCCAAGAGAATCTGGACAAGGAAATAGAACGACAAGAAGAATTACACAACACCACTCACATGTCAGTAGAAAGACTCTGGAACATCACCTGAAACAGTATTTGTATGACAGCAAAAGAACATATAAGGAAAGCAAAGCCAAAAAAGACCCCCACACACAAGCAAGAAAAAAACTACTCCTAAATACACAACCTCAACCAAAATATCAGCTCAGTTTATAACCTGGGGAAACTGGTACATTTAGCCAATACATACATCAAAAGAAAGAGAAAATCGAATACAATAGTGAATAAAATCAACAAAATGACAAAAATCCTACAAAAACAAAACACACCCATAACAAACTTCCCTCTCCAGGAAAGCAACAATCAAAAAACAAGATGGCTGGAAGAAGTAAAAGACCTCTGGCAAGCAATAAAGAAGACAACCAACCAAGAACTACAAAGCAACATCAACACCCAAATTAAAGAAGCCACCCAAAAAAGAATGGATCAATATGCGGAATCCAAAAAGAAAATGATCAACAGCATACTATCACGTGAACACAAAACAATCGAAATGAACACAATTGTCATTAAAAATCCAGAAACAACCATTATCACAGAACCAAAAGAAATTAAAGAACTGGCAAAAAAGCACTTCAGTCATCAACCAGTACACCATAACACGTCACAAATTCCTACAGAATGGCAAAAAGAATATAAGCCAAGAGACAACATACAAGAAGGCTGGTACACAGCAGTACTACAAAAAATTCAACCGTCAGAGATCAGAAAAACCATTGCCAAAACAAGCAAAAACTCAGCTCCAGGCCCATCAGCAATAAACTATGACATACTCAAACACTTGGGGGACAAAACTATACAAAGAATAACACACGTCTTCAACAAAATCCTGGATACAACCTCAATTCCAACACAGTGGCAACACAACTTGGTGTACCCAATCCCCAAGAAAACAGACTGGCAACATGACCTCAATCACACCCGTCCGATTGTCCTAATGGAAACA